AAAATGTAATGCAAAAAATTTGGGTCTACTCATAGAAGAAGACCTACGTTTTCTCTGGCATGTTAACAGCGTCATCAAAATATGCTATTTTGGACTAAAAATGCTATTTACCAACAAGACGTTTCCTCAGTTTTAACAAAAACTGTTATGTGAATCATTAATTAATTTCAAAAATTTCATATGGAGTCTTAGCGTATTATCCTTGTTTAGATCAAATGTTCGCCTACAGACTACAAAAGAATTCAAACTTCTTGGCCCAATCAAAGATTTAAGATGGCTCAAAATTAATAACCTCCTCAAATATTTATAAAATATAACCACTCATTCACCACTACGTTTATGGGACAAACTAACACAGAACAAGCATTCATGATTTAAATTTAAGGTATATGAGCACATTATCCATACCAAGACATCACTCAGCCATGTTTCAACGCTACTAAATATTATAATGCATTAGACATCAATATTAAAAATACAGCAAATCATCATAAATTTAAGTTTCTATTGAAACGATATATTTTGAACATACAGTAACACAGAAATTTTGGTAGCACTTAACGGGGCTCTCACAGTCAAGCAGAGTTTCTGAGGGGTATCGGGGGGGTGATAGGGAAACGCTAGTAGGACGGCGTTGTGACAAGGCAAGCGCTCTACGTTAGAAAAGGATAGTAATACGCAGAGGTGTGCTGTTCGCGTGCCTGGTTGAATTTGCATATTGCACAGAGTCGGATTTGATTTGGATATACGATCTAGCGTACGACTGTTTCCCTATTTTGGCGCATAGTATACTCAGCCCTTATTACTTTTATTACCGTTATTCTATTGTTGTATTATCGTGTTGTTATTGTTGTGTTGTTATTGTTGAGTGTCTTTCTTATCAAGGTATCAAAAATGAACAATAAGAGAAATAAACGTGGCGTCTCGAAGAAGCCGCATTTAAATACGCACAGGAAAAAAAAACGTTTTCCAGATAGAAAGGTAGGTACCAAAACAATTATGAATTTTAGCATTCATTTTGCCAATAAATTAGACTATACGTAGTTACTATTACAACTATATTTTATATGTTATTTTAGCTTAAAAATGACAGCAAGGTTTCGCATATGCATTCTCTAACAGAGACAGATGGCATGGATCTTCAAATTCAGGTGTGTATACCCTTTTTTTTTTTAGATTTGCACCAGAGGCTGATATCATTTCTGGCAATTCTGATTAAAAATGCAGTAAGTTTACTTCATGACGTCGATAGTAGTATTGTAGAGCAGTTTAACTCAATCATAGCTAAATTCATTGGGGGTAAACGGATTAATTATAGCAAGAAGAGATCCTACCAAGGAAGATGTGCTGCAGCCGTAGTGAGCCACAATACACAGCGGCCTGTTTGTGTGATCCAAAAGCGGCTACTCCCTAGTTTCAGTCCAACCTCTTTGATTGCTAATGTTGAAGAAAGGAGAGCACACAAAAATCTGAAAAGGAAGCTGAAACCAAGGAAAATTAAAATCAGAGATAGTGATGCTAAAGAGAACGCATCCTATGGGGAATTCTGTGAGAAGCCTGACATGAGCAACGAAGATATAGCGGCTGCCAAGGTAGAATTCTTGAAAACACTTGCAAAAACCGACTCCGAAATTTCCCAGATCGAGCAAGCCACAAAATCTCAGGATTGCAATTTGTGGCTCTTCATCGAAGAATGAGGTACAACAAGTTGCAGAGCTCTAGTAAACGCCATAATATACCCAACCGAATTCTTTAGCAATGCATGTGACTATGGAAGAAAGCATGAAAGCGTGGCAAAAGCAGAAATAGAGAAATCATATTCGCAATCAGAAGTACAATCTTGCGGGTTGTTTATTGATAGGACCCATCCATTTCTGGCAGCATCGCCAGATGGTTTGATAGGCGAGAAAGGTCTGCTAGAAATTAAATGTCCATGGTCGGCTAGAGAAATGACCCCTGAAGAGGGCATTCTGAACAAAAAAATTACGTTTTGGATAAACGATGAAATAAATAAAAAACATAAGTGGTATTACCAAATTCAAGGGCAGCTACACGTTGCACAAAGAGAGTACTGAGTGATTGGTGTTTGGACCCCGTATGGTTTGAAAATAGACGTCATTCAAAAGGATGACATTTTCTGGAAAAATGAAATGGAAGAGAAATTGAAATTCTTCTACATGAACTGCTTGCTCCCAGAACTGGTCGATCCCAGGAAAAGCAGAAATTTGCCAATCCGCGATCCCGATGTGATCTTGAAGGCACAAGAGTACCGTTTGAACAAGAAAAAGAGTTCTTGAGAATTGGCTATTTTTGCTGTACTCGGGTACCAAAATGGAAGAGATTAGCATATTACATTGTACGCCGTTACTAACCCCTTCGTGTCGGCAAATGCGGTGTGCAGATCTCGCTTTAGCAGCGATGTGCGAGATGTTATGCTAATCTCTTCCATTTTGGTACTAGTACCAGATGTTCACTATTTATTGTATATTATGTATATATTGTTTATTTAAATAAAAGTCAATCGTCAGGCTCAATAGCACGTAGCATCGGCTAGCTTTATCTAGTCTGTTAGATGGCGAATATTGAAACGTCACATTCACACGTTAAGCGCCACAGTAGAATCTGAAAATCCAGTCCACTGGGCCAAACTGTTATTATTGTCAAATTAGCTTGTTTTAAGTTTCGGTTTAATATTTTGACTTGAGTTTTTTCTCAAATCCTATGATTCTTCCCCTTTTTTGATTTTTTTTTCTGAGGTACTAGTTGTATGTCGCGTGGCCCACAGACCAGTCGGGTTACGTGGCACATAAGTCGCGTCGCGTTTTTTGCAAGTCAAGACTTGCATCATGTCGCGCGTTGAGCACTGTTTCGTGTCATTTATTATTGAAGCGTTGTTGGTATTGTACGTCATCTTGTCCAAATTGCTTTACTGTTTATAAATTATTGAATACCAAATTTGTGATGTCGCATTACGAAGCGGAGCAAAAAAGGCTTGAACAATTGTGTAATGAAATACTATCGGATGAAGAGAGTGGCAGTACTGAGTTATGTGGGGATGTATACTTATCTGATGCGTATTCTCCAAGTGGTAGTGAATCAGATAGTAGTTGTAGTAATTCCATATTTATCTGTATTACTGTTTATTTATACCGGTATTTTGTTTATTCCTGCATAAGACTTTGTCAATCTGTTTAGTTTATAAGAGTTCCTCCATATTTGTGTTCGTTAGAATATCGACATTTACCATAACTTACTGATTTGCTGTGAAATTACTTTGTTCATTTTTGAATGAGAATGTCTGATTATTTTATAAGATTTGCTTTTTGTTTTTGATTTGTAGAATATCATCTTTTTGTAAAACTCTATAAACAACGTGTTTTTTAATGTTTTCATTTCCAATTCAGTATAATTTGGTCCCTCAGGCCACGGACTCTTGGTTCCCGTAAGAAAATCACATCAGCATGGCACACGTCTTACGTTACGCGGCCAAATATAACTGCCAGCAGTGAGACATATCATGTGTGTCACGAGGGCCAAAGCGCCAAATGAGGTGCGACACACGCATTATATCTCATGACGCTTATCGTGTTAAGTTTATTTTACGATACTCCATAAGGTTAAAGCTAAACAGCAAGTGACATTTTATTTGTGTTAAATGCGTTCACTATAATTATTATTTTTAACGAAAAAGATTACCGCCTCCAATGACCCTGGAACCACCTGGAAACTTTTGGTCACAAAGTTCTGTATTTTACCACACATGTCAAGTCTTTTCATTTGATATGTAAATTGGGGGTTTTGTACAAAAATATGTAACTCGCAATTTCGAAACGGCGGAAATCTTGGAATCAAATTTTTAGTGAAGTACTGTATTCTACAAGGCGACGACTCTTATTTGAGATATTAGCAAGTATGTTATCCGCCATTTTGTAACGGCCGCCATCTTGATTTGAAACTGTTTTCGTATTACTGTTTTGTACAAATGCTTCCATTTGATATCCATATTGGGGTGATTGAACAAAAATGATTTTTTGTGGTATCACCTCTGAAGCATGGCCTATTGTATAAAAAGAAATGATCAAAATCGATTAAAAATTTCCTCTCCTTCATTGAAGTCTATTAAAAATATCACTTACTGGTCCGATGTTTATCTCGAACGACAACTGCTACTGTTGAACTTGGGACAACAAATTATCTGAATACGTCCTTTCTTAGTCCGTACACACCGCCGCGTTGCTTCGACTGGCAGCACGAGATAGTGGATAAAATTCGTGTAAAAGCCTATTTGCAGAGGTTTTCGCGCTTCAAAATTGACGCTTCATTTTTGAATATTTTTCAATGAAATTTTCACAGTGCACTAAAAACAAGACTCCACAGGGTGCTATAGAGCCACTTTTTCGGTTTTTCCTCTGGGTTATTTTTAAAAAAATCGAGAAGTCGAACAACAATTATCTGCACTTCCACCCACCATAACTCCTGAAAAAAATTTTTTTTTAGAAAAGTGGCTCTATAGCACCCTGGACAATTGTCTTCTGAATATACTGTATAAATTTTATTCAAATATATAGAAAAATGGAGCGTCAATTCCGAAGCAGCTAAACCCTTGTAAATGGCCTGAAACTCACTGCGTCGGAGCCGCCTTAATCCTTGTTGAATATATTTTATTTTTATATAAACTATTACACTGAAATTTTATAAGCATTTAATGCTTTATCACGTAAACAGTAACAGACATTTTTATAGTTTACACTTAATTTAGACTTTTTTTATATTTTCAAATAGTGGTTGAGTAGATTGGCCAATGGCTAGATCCCGAAATTTGCATCATACTTTTTAATATTATGTTGTGATGTTAAAGACAGATTATTAAAAAAGTTATATTATACGTATGATTCGCTGGTTGAATGATTCTTTTTTAATGATCTGCGGTTACTAAGAATAATTCGGCGGGCGTAATGTAAGTATTGTACTTACCTTTATTACTTTACTAGTTCTAAGACATGATATTATAATTTAGGCACCAACCGAATCGTGTAGCGGAACTTATTTGTCTATGTATAAAGGGTACTATAAAAATGACTTAACAAACGGACGCAGGAGGTTGCATGCTACTCTATGTTAAGACATGTTCATGTGTGCATACTAGCCGCCAGCAGCACGTCTGTTTATTTAGTTTTGACTGTGTAAAGTGCGGACTATGGCATCGAGGTGACGTAGTGAGGCAAGTGCAGTTTTACGGTATAACCTTAAGCGTGGTTTCAGAATAGACCAGTGCTTAGAGCTTAGAAGAAATGACGCTTGCATTAAAGAATGATTGTCCTCATCGTACGACCATATTCAGGTGGTACACAGAATTCCAAAGGGGCAATTTCACTCTGGAGAACGCTGAGAGGGAAGGAAGGCGATAGAGAAGACCTTGCACCTTCATGCACCAGCAATTCATTCAATTCTGCATGACCATTTACACGTAAGGAAACTTTGTTCTTTCTGAATACCGCAGAGCAAAATACTCGACGTACGACTTGGTGCCGAAAGATGCTGAAAATGTTTGAAAAGGGGCAATGTGGTGGAAATTACTTTGAACGATGTTAATAACGGGTGATTTTTTAAGAGGTATAGGATTTGATGTTCAAAAAAAACACAAAAAAATTTGAATAACACGATTAAATCTTTATTTGAGTCGATAGAACGGTTGATATAATTTAATGTTTAAAGATTATTTCATGTAAATGTTAGCCGCGGTTCCGCTTTAGATGGCCCATGCGCAAGGTCCAATTTTGGCACACTCTCTCCAAGATATCGGAAGGTATCTCACGAATAAGTGCTTCAATATTAGCTTCCAGTGCGTCAATCGTTGCTGGTTTATCCCTGTAGACATTAGCCTTAACATGGCCCCACAAGAAATAGTCCAACGACGTTAAATCACACGATCTAGGCAGCCAATTGACGGGCCCCAAACGTGAGATAAACTGTTCACCGAACTCGCCTCTCAATAGGGCCATTGTTTCGTGTGCGGTGTGGCATGTGGCACCGTCTTGTTGAAACCACATGTCAGCCAAGTCCAGCTCTTCCATTTTGGGCAAAAAAAAGTTTGTTACCATCGCACGGTAGCGCTCGCCATTCACAGTTACGTTCCGGCCATTGTCGTCTTTGAAGAAGTACGGCCCGATGATGCCACCGGCCATCATCCACACCAGCGATTTTTTTCGGGATGCATTGGTAGCTCTTGCAAATGCTTCTGGCTGGTCTTCACTCCAGATGTGGCAATTTTGCTTGTTAAAGTACCCATTAAACCAGAAACTTCGTCGCTGAACACAATTTTTCGATAAAAATGTGGATCTTCCTCCAACTTTGCCAGCGCCCATTCACCAAATTGGAAACGTTGTGGGAGGTCGTGTGCCTTCAATTCTTGCACCAGCTGTATCTTATAAGGTTTTACACCCAAATTCTGTCGCAAAATTTTCCATGTAGTGGAGTAACAGAGGCCCAATTGCTGAGAACGGCGGCGAATCGACATCACTAACACTGGCGGATACAGCCGCAATATTTTCTTCAGTCCTCACTCTACGTCTGCGTGTTGGTGGTTTAATGTCCAATAATGTAAACTGGGTTCGAAATTTAGTCACAAGCTTCCGAATAGCTCCCTCAGTAGGCCGACCAAATTGCCCATAAATTGGAAGCAGTGCTCGATGCACTCTCTTAACCGAGCATGAATTTTGATAGTAAAATTCAATAATTTGCAAGCGCTGTTCGTTCGTAAGTCGATTCATGGTTAAAGTATAGACCAAACTGAACAAGTTTGACAATGACATAAGACACGATTCACGCGTCATCTGTCAAAAACAGTGTTGCCAAAAAGATACTAGCTAAAAAATACCCATTAAATAAAGCTGTATTACAAAACCCTTTGTACCTTCTGTTTTGAATATGAGTAAATCTGAATAAATGGTTCGTCAAGGGACAGTGAAACATATAAGTGGATACCAAAACAAAATCCGATGGATTAGTGATGCAATTCATAAAAAGCATGGTCTCCAACAATAGACTATATTCAAGGTCACATTTCTACTTGAAATGAAAGTTTCCCGTTCTCGGTTCGGTTGGTAGCGCAGAGTAGAGAAATGTTGCCGCGTCTTATCTGTTAACATCAGTTGTCATTGTCCTTTGGTCGTACTAGTTCTTTATTGTTTGATTTGTGAGTTTATCACGTGCTAAAATCACGTAACCTTTCTTTTTACTGATGAGTATTTTAAATTTCTCTTTATTGATTATAGAGTGCCGATTCCTATGCCAAACCCTTTTTAATGATTTTCTTTTGTCAAATTTCATAGTCTATTGATTGTAGAATTTCACACGTATTATATCTGTCATTCTCAGCGACTCAATATTATTTTGAAATCTTTCTTCTATCTGAGAAATTTCCTCATAAATATTGTTGGTCCTTTGTAGAGAGATTTTTTTCTGCCCATCAGCAACCAGCGCGCCATCCTATGATGTTTATACGTACTAGTTATACATGAATGTTTATCTTAATATCAAGATACCTTATTTACATACTTTTATCTGTTCCTTTCGATGTTCTGTCGAACGTGTTTTCTTCGCGGCAACTTATTTAACCTTCTTTTAGGGGGTTGCCTGCGTAGATGGTCTAACGCCATTTTACTTTCTGCTGTAGTTTTGGTTGTGTGCGAGCGTTATTTTTCGTTTATTTTTTAGTGGAAAGCTATTGTGGAGAACCACCATTCACACTCCTCCAGCTTTTTTTTGTAGCTGTTTACCTTGTGACGTTTCTAACATCACTGCTCACTACTGGCCACTGGTTTTTGACCTGAGCGTTTGTAAGCTCTAGACATCTCAGTTGTAACTGTAACTGGAAGAAGACCATTATCCAGATAAGTTTAGGTTTAGGCGCTAAACTATTTGTAAGGCCTATATTTGTAAAGCTTTCGTACGTGTACCATGGGAAAAGTTTTGCAGGGCTAGTTATTATGGTCTATTAATTTTATTGTCAGGTAGTTTTTAATAACATCTTTTCTTTTAACTTACATTCCAGTGGTGGAGCACATGTGCTGCTTGTTTTGGCAATATATTGTGATTCGTTTTTAGATATCTTGTTTTTTGTTTGGCTCTCTGTATATATAGTTAATTAGGTTTCATCATTACTGTTAGATTCTTTTCTTTGTATGGTGGTCAAGCAAAACAAGTTCCGACTAACATCTCGGGGATTTGTGGCTTAATTTGTCTTGAGTCACTTAATACCCCCCCCCCTACTCTCCGCTTTATTGAGCTAGGGCCTAAATTTGCACGCCACGTGACAGCTGTTTTGCTTTGACTGATCCTTGGATTTCATTTATAGTAATTTATTAATTCATTAATAAATTTAAAACAAGGAAAGAGGAACCACCCCACCTTTCCTCTTATTTATAAAAAAGGCGTGGCAAGTTTTTGCGCTATTTAAGCTCGCCTTGCAATTAAAAATTGTTCTTTTCAGAACAACATTTAGTGTGAAGTGGTACTATTCGTTATTATTCGTCAGAGCGGTCCGGTGGACCTTTGCTCTTAGTTAAAAGTCTCGTCAGTCTGCTAGTCTGTCAGGTCTGGCTACCCAGATACCAAACATGTTTTTTTTGGCTGGTCTGAATTTACAATTTAATTTTGATCACAGTGCGAGGCGCGGCCTGGACTATTTGCGAACTTGCTCGACTGTGTAGTCTACTGAATCACGCAACAGAGGGTTGCTGTGCGATTCCGCTTGATTATAATGCCACTGCGCCTGTTGTTTTACGTAATCCCATAAATATAGGATATCAAGATCTCTGTGAATAGTCCCATTTGACACGTACCAAAGGGCGTTAGTAATTGTGCGTAGGGTTCTGTTTTGCAGGACTTGCAGTCTCTGCATGTGCGTCTTGCCAAGAAAACCATTTTATAAAACCGAATCTTGTTGATCAAACTTAATTTTGAATTTCTGCACAACAGAGGATGAAGCTGCCGAAAGGTTATTTGGAATTTTGTTTTCAAAATATCAGTATGTTTCTGCCAGGTCAATCCCTTGTCAATGATGACTCCAAGATACCTGACAGATGATAAATGCAGGTTGTCTATTGTACTTAGCCATTCAATGGATGCAGAAAGATCGCCTGCAATGCCTGAGTGGCGCTAATCAGGGGACTTATTTGTTGAAGGGACCTAAGCGCAGTTGCTAGGTCCACATTCTGCGTGTTCAAAGTGGGTTGAACAGAGGGGGCAGCCGAAGATGTTGAGACGGCTGCTTCCGCGTATGACTTGCTGCGTCTTTGCGCTATGACTTCCAGATTTCACCTGGGGTGAATCTGCAAGTGGGACTGTTAGCGGGATGCGCCCTTCCACAGTTCGCACACTTTCGCTCCATCTTGTCCTGTGAGGGGGCATAAATGTGTCATGTGGTCGGAAGCACATTTTAAACATTTGGGAGGTGCTGTGCAGTAAGACTGCGCATGACCATACCTTTGGCTGCGGTGACACTGCCCAATAAGTCTAGAGTTCTTTTGAACTTCAACTCTGATTGCTAGACCCAACAGCTCATGGTCATTGAACAGCTGCTGGGACTTTTCAATCTTGGGCAGTATCACGACCACCAAAGGCATGGGTGCGCCGCCACTGCGTTTGAGTCGGATAATGTGGAGAGGAGCATATCCCCTCTGTTCTAATTCCCCTTTGATCTCCTGTTCCGAAAACATTGCGGATATGCCTCTGACTACCGCGTGAATATTTCGTTCTGAAGGAAGAGGAAACGTATGATGGGGCACGTCCTCCTCCTTGACCAGGCGAACGATTCTTCGGTAGTCATCCTCAGTTTTCGGCAAAATCCTGATTCCGGCATCAACGGCAACTGCGCGTTCGATCTTGCCTAAGCTTATAAAGGTGTAGTTTAGATGTCGCTACTTGGTCGCATCACGCAAAACAATGGGCGTGATTCGCCCCTGGCGGGGTGCTGTGCTGGTCAACTCACCAGCAACGTGAGATTGTTGAGATAATGCACTGTCAGTTGATGCAATGGCCAAAGATTGAGAAGATGTGGTCGCTGCATCGACCGTCATAGGACAAGTGGCAGAAGAAGTTGATACGTTTAATGAAGCAGAAGGTTTTGAGGGGACTGTCAACTTGAATTTTGATTTTGCTTTTGGAAGAGGTGGAAAGTCATCCGTCTTGTCGGTTTTGTTCGTTTTGTCGATGCGTCTTTTCCTAGACTTGGCCTGGATGAATCCGTCATTCTGTATTTCATCGTCGGTCGATGTCACGTCAGT